TGCTTCTGAGCTTGATGGCCGCTTGATTACCTTCAAGCCTTTAAGACCCCAGACGCTATACTTTTTGATAGCCGGGCACCATCAGCTTAGAAAGTCTCATCTTTCTCCCAGGAAGCAGCTAGTGGTTTCAAACTGCTGACCTTGCGGTGAGCAACCCACCATGTCACATGCTATATGACACCAGGGCTCCCACAGGGCAGTTCTACTCTATCTTATGGGGTTGCTATGGCTTGGTGGCAGTGAGGGGTTTGACTTTGTTTGTTTTTCAGATGGGGGCGGTGGGACAGGCTGTGTAGGGGCGGCACCCCTGGGGAGACTGGGGTGACAGTGCGATTTGACATGGGGGTCAGTGCCATGTCCCAGTAATGCCAGGGACCTATACCACAGTCAGCAGCACGGATCTGAGGCTCTGACTCCAGAGCCGCCTGTCTTACCCAGGCCCATTCGCCGGCACCTGGAGGAGCTGGACAAGTTTGTGCGGGAGAATATCTACTCTCTGTACAAGTTCAACTTCACCGAGGGCCAGGGTCCCTCCAGGAGCACCCTCACAGCCAACGACCGGAGCCCTGCGCCAGCCTTCCAGCTGAACCAGAAGCTCTGTCGGTGGAGGCTGAGCGAACCAGACAGCCAACACAAAGTGGGGGTCACCCTGGTGAGCGTCCCTGGGCCCGATGGGGTGGCAACAGGAGTCACCATGTCTTGACACTGTGAGCGGTAGTGCGACAGGAGAGTGTGGCATGAGAGTGCGGAGGCAAGTCAGGTGGGCAAAGGACTGACCCCCACCCCAGTGCAACAGCACAGGGGGCGACTGCTTTGACCACACGAGAAGGCCGTCCAGGAGTGGTACCACTTCCACTACATGAATGTCTTGGCCACCACCCAGGGGCACAGCCACCAGAGCCACTTTGTCCTCTCCTGTCAGCACAACTGGCAGGAATGCCCAGCTAGGTGAGGAGTGGGCACACCTGGGGGCTGCCGGTGGGAGGCTAGCCACACCCAGCCCCTGCCCTGAGGAGGCAGGCCATTCTCTCAGGCTTCTCCCCGCTGACCTGTGGATGGCATGGGCTGGTCTGAGCCCGGCCCCTCCTTCCAGGAGCTTCAAGACCTTCTACCACGCTGTCTACGGCAGCTGCTACACCTTCCAGGACATCTTGGCAGCAACACGCCAGGACATTGCCCAAGGTGAGCGGCAGACAGGGCCTGAGGTGGGAGCCGGGCAAGCAGGGAGCCAAGGACCGGCTGGCCAGGTCCAGGATGTGGGTAGGGCAGGCTGGCTTGGACGGGGTGGCGGGCACTATCCAATGGGTATCACCTGGTCGCCCCTCTTCCAGGGGTCAGCCTTGCGCTCAGAGTGGAGCAGCAGGACCACCTGCCCTTGCTGTCTGTGGAGGCCGGCCTCAAGGTTTTCATCCACGGGCGCGACCACACGCCCTTCCTGGAGCCCCGCAGCTTCAGCATCCTGCCAGGCACCCAGACCACAGTCAGCATCCGAGAGGCGGGCGGGCGGGGGTGGGGGCGGAGTCTGTGGGAGGGGCGGGGCCTGGAGGCCCCTGGCGGGAACTGAAACCGCCTCCCGCCAGGAGGAGGTGCACTGGCTTCGGAGGCCCTACGGGGACTGCGTGGACAGAGACAAGGGCAGGGTCTTGCAGCTGCTGTACAACACATCCTGCACCAGGCAGGTGAGCCTGGGGCGGTGGCACTCACCCTGGGCATAGCCCAGGGCCCACAGTCGGAGAGAGTGGGAAGCGGTGGCCGCGAGGGAGAGGCGGTGGCTGTGCCAGCAGGAGCCCGGCGGGGGAACGGAGGGTTCCCGGGCCCCCAGCTCCCTTGCTCTCCGGTCCCCCTAGGCCTCTGGTCTCCGTTTTCCGCAGCTGATGATCAAGAACTGCTCCTGCGGTTACTACCACTACCCCTGCCGGCCGGCGCCCAGTACTGCACCTACGCCCAGGCTTGGGGCGAGCCCTGCCCGCTCCCACTCACCACCCACCACCCACCACCCGCTACCTACTGGCCTGCAGTGAACCTTCGCCCACCGGCCTGGCAGATGAAGGTGGAGTCACATCCTTCACCGCCACACCTCCCATCCCCTCTCCTGGCCCCTTCCTGAGCCAGTCTCTGTGTAACTGTCTCCTTTACCTGGTCACTGCTTCTACCACCTCTACCAGGAGTTGGAGACAGGAGGCTTCTCCTGCCTCTCTCTCTGTCCCAGGCCCTGCAAGTGGTGGGGGGAGGGCACAGGGAACCCCGGGGCACTGCCTTGGGCACTGCGGCAGGGGGCTGACACAGGGGTCTGTCTGTCCCAGGGAGAGCCTGTACAAGCTCTCCATGGGGTCCTCCAGGTGGCCTTCGCCCAAATCCGCTGTGAGTGTGCCCCAAGGGGTGTGGCTGGGGGCTGCCCTCGGCCTGCCCCTTGGTAATAGAGGTTGGGGGCTGAACAGGGGTAGCAGCCCCATGGAGATTTCTCTGTGTAGGGCTGGGTCTTGGCTGTATTCGAGGGAGTCCGGAACCAGAGCCAGAGTTCAAGGTGGGGTAGCAGCCCTCCACTAAGGGGCAGTGCTGAGCCTCAGCCCCTAGTGCCCCTTCTCCTCCTGGGCTCCCAAGGAGGTGTCCCACCACACAGGCCTGGGCCCAGCCCCCTCATACTTCTGTCCCCCATCCAGAAGCGGCAATACCAGAGTGAACATCTACCAGCTATCTGCCGGCTGCCAGTAGGAGGCCAAGCATCGGGGAGCCATGCCAGGCTCACATCCCCCAGAAGTGATCAGGGCAAGTCTCAGCTGAAGAGTAAAAGTGGGTGCCGGGCCCCTCTCTACTCCCAGACTTCCAGCACCAGAACCAGCTTTACAAGGGCCACGGATTGCTTGGCTGTCCTGACCGTCCAGGATGGTCCAGAGCCCCCCATTCCCCACCCAGGGCCCCCTTTGGCCACTGATGCCAGCCTAGGAGGCTGAGGGAAGCAGGCATGGGGCTTCAGCACATCCAAGCCTCCCCTGGTCCCAGCTGCCCTCCCTGGAGGGGTCGCCACTGGCCTCAAGTAGACTGGGAGAACAAAGCGTTCCCCCCACTCTGGGCTCATGGTTCCTGCATAAGCCCATGTGTGCGCATGTGCAGGTGTGGGCGTGTGGGGAGGGCACGTGTGGGAGGGGCCCCCCACTCAGAGAGCATCTACAATCTGCCCGGTTGTTGGGGCAACTTCCAAGGAGCAGGCTGGAGGAGGGACTCAGCTTGGCTAGGACATTTGGTGACTTCAGATTGTTTTGTAATAAAGTCTCAATTCCATCTGGTGGCCTGTGTCTCTGTACACTCTTCTCCCGCCCCTGTTACCCTCTGACAGTACCTGGGGCAGACCAGAAGTAGCATGGGAGTGGGCTGGAGTCAGAAGGGGCAAAAGGCCAGCTTACAGGCCCAGGAGTGGGGATGGGACCAGCCCAGGTCATTCACTCCTGTTGGTGTCACCCCCATCCCACTAGAGGGGGCAGGGGTATCAGAGTCTGTGTTCATCAGAGCCCCAGTCCTCCCCACTCACACGTCTGGCAGGTGGGGCCTGGGCTGGCCAGCTCAAGGGGCACTGGTCCTGTCCCTCTTAGGACTTCCTGGCACAGAAGGCAGGGCCAAAGACAGTGGGGAGCACAAAGGCAGCCAATGAGCAGGCAGCACAGCAAGCGCAGAGGTTTATTAACAGTGTGTGATCCGAGTGGTGGGCGGAGCTCAAGCAGGAAGGAAGGAAGGAGTGGATTTTCTGTTCAGGGTTCACAGCCATGGGGCAAGGGAGGTGGGAGGGCCCCAGGTCAGTGTTGCCACCCACTGAGCCTCTCCGGACAGCATTTTGCATAATGGCCAGTTGACTGGCCTGACCAGGGTCCATAGTTAGGGAGGGGGCCCAGCCGCTGCCCTAAGCCTTCGTCCAAAAAGGGGAAACAGAGAGGGCATCATGGGGCCCCGAAGTGGCTGAAAGACCCCAGGCCCCAGGGAGGGTCCAGCCCAAGAGGCAAAGCGGGCAGGGACAGGGGCAGGGCCGGGCTGCAGGCAGCGCCTGGACAAGATGTCCTCAGGAGTGTCCACGGAGAGAAGATACAGAACAGTCCGAACTAGGGCATCGTCGAAAACCCGCTCGGCAGTGACAAAGGGCGTGGGGCGCGGGTGGAAGTGCCAAAGTGGCTTTACGCAGGCATCTGGGCCGAGGACCCGAGAGAGTGCCTCCAGAGGGGGCAGGGACTGGCCTGGGGCAGCCCTGCACCTTGGGCCTTCGTGGCCAGCCATGGGACCCAGGACGCCAGCGTCCAGCAGGAGCTGAAGCCCCAGGCCATCAGAGTCCCGCCCGCTTAGCACCCTCGAAGCCCAGCCTGGATGCTGGAGTCCCTAAGTGAGGTACACGGGGTTGACCCTTGCATGGGCTGCCCCTCCCTGCCCTGGTAAGGCACTGGTGACCAGCCACCGGCCTCTGGGCCTAGAGAAGGGGCTCTGGGGGCATGTAGGGAAGAGGACTCAACTGGTAGACCAGTGTTCTGGGGCAGTAAAGGTGGGCACGAGGTGACATAGGCTCTGAAGACAGAGAGAGCACGAGGTGACACCAGTCCCACAAGGTGACCATGCCTGAGGAGCACGCATGAGTTGACCCAAACCCCAAGGGCAAAGAGGGCAGGAGGCAACATGGGCCTTGAGTGGTCTGCGGTGTGGGCAACCTAGGCCCAGAGGAAGGCATGGGTCACTTGAGGACACAGGGTCTCAGAAGAGGCAAGGGCACCAGGGGATGGAGTCTCCCTCCCCAAGACACCTTGAGTTTGGGAAGACTCCGTACCATTCCCTCTCTCCTCCTGGGGGGTCTGGGCAGTTTGGAGGAGGGCAGGGTGGACAAGCCCCACCCCAGGAGTGCCCGGCACAGGGGCTTGTCAGAAGTGGGCCCAGGTGTCATCATAGGCAGGGCCGGGGATGGGCAGGGCTGGGGTCTCCAGAGGCATGCGGGGTGGCCAGGCCAGCGGCCGGGTGCCAGGGTGGAAGCCCACGGCTGCCCGGCCGGCCCGGCCCTAGCTCTCCTCCAGGTGGAGGCCAATGAACTCCTGGATGCACCGGCGGTACTGGAGTTCGGTGGGGCTGCTGCCGGTCAGCGGGGCAGGCTGACCCGGCAGCGCCTCTGCCTCACGCATCTCCTCTGTCATTCGGGCCAGACGGAGCCTGGGAGTGGGTGGGGAGACAGGCATTCTGTGAAGCGACTACCTGGGGAGACCCCGCCCAGCCTGCCCTGTCTCTTCTCTCCACTGACCCTCCTTGGCATCAACCTAGGATCTGCCCTGCAGACCCTGCCCACATGCTCACAAGGTGACGATGTCTGCGTTGGCCGCCTGCACAGCGATGCTCAGCGGATCCTGCTGGTCATGGTCCAGGGCATGCTGATCGGCCCCTCGCTTCAGGAATAGGCAGACCTGGCTGCAGGGCGGGAAGCAGGGAGTTAGGGCTGGCTTGCCTTGCGGTCGAGGGCCGGGGTGGGGCGGGCACTCACCCAGTGCGACCAAGGAGCGTGGCGTGGTGCAGAGGCGCTCGTCCCCGGCTGTCTCTTTGGTTCACGTCCGCCCCGTTTTGTAGAAGAAATTCACAGACGACCAAGGAGCCCTGCGTGGCGAATGAGTATCCGGCATTGTAAACAAATGACAGCCCCCCAGCCCTGCACCTATCAGCCCCTGCACTCCACCCGGGGAGATAGGTGGCCAGCCTGGTTGGAGCAGGAGGGCAGAGGCACTAGATCGGCGCCACAGAACAGTGCGTCTTGAGCATGCAAATATGTCAAATTATGCAAACGTCATCTCTGCTTTCCTTTTGCAAGGCCCGCCCCCAGGCCCCCACCCCCACCCCCAACTCACCCCGAGCACGGCCTGGACCAGCGGCGTCTTGCCTTCGTCTTCTGAGTCGGCCCAGTTGACCTCAGCCCCGTGGGCTAGCGCCGCGGCCAGCGCGGGAAGGTCCCGGGTGCGCGCCGCGCGGTGCGCTAGGAGTCCCGGGTGCAGCTCACGCAAGTCGGCCAGGCCCCAGGCCTCACTGTCCCCATCTGCCTCGCCGCTGGATGCCTCCGACTCCCCGCCCTCTGCAGGCAGGGGCGCGGTTAGCGCCTGCGATCCCGCCAGGGGGCGCTCCAGCGGCTCCCGGGGACCGGCACGGCGCAGGCGCACACCCACCCTCCTCCGTGACGCTGTCCACCACGGAGCCCGCGCCGAAGGCTAGAACGTCTGAGCTGCCGTCGGAGCTACCGCCCAGGCCGCTGTCGCTGCTCAGACCTGCCGAGCCCACGGGGAAGAGAGGTTCCTGGGAGCTGCAGATCCTGCTCCTCCAGCAGAACCAACCGCAAGCCTCTGGGCAGCTGCCAGCCAGCCCTCCCGCAAGCCCCAGGCTCTGAGAGGGTTCAGCAGGGTCCTCTGTTGCCCGCGCTCACTCCCGTCTGACCCCCATCAGCTCTTCCAGCTCCTGGCCCTATCCAGCCCATACTGCCCAACTTGCCAGGGAATGCACGCTCCCAGTCAATACATGCGTAACCACCAGTCCTGGGGTTGGGGGTGGTGTGGCCTGGCTTGTAACTTTTCTCGTTTCTGTGCCTTAAAGATGATCACCAGCCCATTCCAAGCCAAGTTGGGAAAAGATAACGTGAATCGTCTTTCATGAGCTGGCTCCTGCACCTGCCTGCCCAGGCTCCGCAGCATACGTTGGTGCATGCTTACACCAACACACACCTACCTGGGTGCGTGCAGCCACTTAGGTATTTATCAGTCACACGTACACACCCATGACCCCACATGCATGCTCATGGATATGCTCACATACACTCCTGTGCACACCACACATACAATCCATCTTCTCTACACACACACATGCACACCTGTGTGCACACAGCTACACATTTCCTCACATCGTTTTCATCAACAGACCTCTTGAGAAACTGTTCCAGCCTCAGCTCCACCTATCCCCAAGTTTTCTGTGCCCGTAGGCTGGCCTCTTTGGAACACCTGCCTCTCCAGCCCACAGTACTGGTGGTCCACCTGTGGGCTACTGCCACTGCCGGCTGCACCTGAGGGGCTGGGCTGCAGGAGAAGCAGGGCTCCCCAGGACTTACTGCGTGGACCTGCCCCAGCAGCCCCGGTGTCAAAGTAGGAGAAGAGGGAGTCCAGCTCGTCTGGGCAGAAGAGGGAGTCCCGGCGGAACTTGCGTTCCAGGATGCTGGCTGGGGGAGGGTGGAGAGAAGGCCAAGTTCAGCTGGGGAAAGTGAGGCCCTGGGGGGATGGGCCACCCCAGGTCATGCTGGGAGCCCCTGCCCTCCCACAGTTTGGGCCTCCCACCTGACCACTTGATCTGAGGTCTGAGGTTTGGTAAACATGCCACCTTCTGGCGACCCTGGTACCTGAGGACAGGGCTACGATGGAGGGCAGGGCAGGCTCTAGCCGGACCTTTCGACGGGCGGTGGGTGCCCGGGGGGAGCTGTGGTGCCGTTGGCACTTTTTTGCTCTCCAGCGCCGGGGCCCCGCCTCCCCGTCGTCCCCTACTGCCTCCTGGTCTGGTGCTGGTGGCAGCTTCCGCAAGAACTTCTTTTCCACGTATTTGTCCTTGATCCAGGCCTCCTTGTCCTGCCTGGACTCAGAGCAAGGAGAGGAGGTCTCAGGCAGGGCTCCCCAGCCCAGCAAGCTACACTCCTTCCCCTGCAGCAGCCCCCCCCAGGGCCCTTGGCGCAGCCTGCTACCCCCACTTACCTGGGACTGCTAGCCGTGGGCTTCTTGCTGCCTGGCCCCTCGCACTGGGCCTCATAGATCTGGTTCACAGTGCTGTTGCCGAGTTCACACATCAGCTATGGGAGACAGGCTTGCAGCATCAGCTGCAGCTCGCAGGCCCTGGCACCCAGCCTCCCAGTGGCCTGCGCTCAGCCCCTGCACCCACCTTCAGCAGCTCTGGCTCCCACGAGTCCAGTGTCAAGGACCGAACCTTAGAGCAGTGAACACCCAGGCTCCTGGAGGGCAAGGGGCAGGCTGAGTCAGGGTGCCCCCTGCTGTGCTCCCCTTAACCCCCTTCCCTGGCCCTGGCGCCGGTGTCCACCTGTGGATGCCCGAGCACTCGATGCAGAGCAGCACACCCAGATTGATGCTGGCCCAGCGGGGGTCCGGCTGGCCGCAGTCTCCACACTGGCCGTTGCCAGCCACGTTCTGCACACGCTGTAAGGTGCTCTCAGCCTTGGTGCCACGCTCCCTGGAGTCCGAGGTGGAGTCGATGCTGCTGGTGGACGGGGACGCCGTGCGGTCCAGCCTCTGGGGACCAGGGGGCAGTGGGGAGCCCTCAGCCCAACCGGGGCCTCAATGTCCCTAGTTGGGACCCTTCCTCCTCCCCCACAAGAGGAGCCAGCAGAGGTCAGAGTCCATGAAGCTCGACTTGCACCCGTGTGTGCTCCCACACCCATACGCATGCACATACACACACATGTGCAACCTACAGGGGTCATCTCATTGCAGCACATGGGCAGGGCACGGCGGGTAGGGGGCTCACCTCACTGTGGCAGCTGTCTGGGCTCTCCCGGTAGGCAGAGGCGATGCTGGCCTGTACAGCTTGAACCCAGGCCTGCCGGAGCTTCTCGGAGTCCGCCTGCAGCATGCAGCTCCTGGTGGGGAGAGGGGCGGGAACCATCAGGCCAGGCCAGGCGGCTGCCTCCCATCCCCCGCCCTCCGCCTTCCCCTACTCACTTGGTGGGTGACACGACCTCGAAGCAGAACCTGCGCTCAATGTCCTCGCAGGGCTTCACGGAGCAAAGGCGCAGGTCGTCCACCACCACGGTGAGCACGTCCTGCGGGTGGCACCGCCGCTGCTGGGGCGGGCTCAGCAGGCCGGCCCTGCCCACAGCCCCGCCCACAGCCACTGACTGACCCTGAGCCCCAGTGCGCTAGGCTCTGTCTCTGGCCTTTGCACCGCTCGGCTTTGGCACCCACAGGCTTTCCTTGGCTAGTGCTGGCCTCCCTGACCAGACAGGCCCCGGTCCAGGTAGGGGGGCGTGGAATGAACCAGGGGCAACACCAGACCAGCCCTGACCCTCACCTTGAGCTTCTTCTGGTAGACCAGCTGGCTGTTCTGAATGGAGAACCAGCGTCTGGTGGGGTGAGAAGACAAGGTGAGGTCAGGCATGGCCTCTCCATTTCTCCCCGCCCCACTTGAGCCCGCTTCCTGCCCACGCCTGCGCCATCCTTTACCGATTCCACGTCTTGAAGGCGTTGCTGGCCCTCTTGAAGAGGTAGCCCTCCATCACCACACCGCTGGGCGCGTCCACGTCAAATTCCACCTTGGACTCGTCGTAGGAGAAGTCCTGTGGAGGTCAGGTGCGGCCCTCAGCTGGCATTCCCCGCCACCCCACCCCACCCAACCGTGTGTGCAGGCTGAAGCGGGCACATGTCCGGGTGGTCATACCAGTCGCATGCACAAACGTGACCATCTGCTCTCAGACACAAGGCCCCTTGACGCTGCCTGCCCCTTGTGTTTGGGCTCTGAGACCCCTGGGGACAGACCCTGCTCCCTCACAGCTGTGGGCTTAGCACTAGCCTGCTTCCCCCCACCCCACCCCTAAGTCTCTTAGAGACAGGCAGACTAGGAGCAGGAAGGAAGCTGCCCCCCCACATCCTGAGCCCATTCATGCCGCCAGCTGGGTCGGTCTAGTTCAGCGCCTGACAGAGCTCCATTTACACCAGGGCCACTGAGCTGTGTGTTGGGGCTCGCAGGGCCAGCAGCCTGGATGGAGGAGTGGACCACCCGCACCTGCTCCCTGCCTAGGGGGGGAGAGGCAGGGACAGCTGCTGCCTCGCCCCCACGGGCCATGTCCGGGCTCAGCCCACGTCCTGCTAGTGCCAGCTGCCTCTCAGCCCTGGGCACACGGGCCTCCAGGGAATCCTGGCGGCTGCGCGAGGCGCCCAGAGCTCTGGGGCCAGAGGAGGTGTCCTTGGTGCTGAATCTCCTGAGGGGTGGGGGAGGCTGGAGGCCCCGCCCAGCCCAGTGTGCGCCCCTCACCCACAAACCCAGAGTGGGGGCGCTCACTCACCTGCAGCAGCGTCTGCGGGGACCAGAGTCGGGGGTGGGGCGACGAGGAGGAGGAGGGGGAGAGAGAGAGGACTGTTGAGTGGCCGATCCCGCCCACCCCACGGGATGAATTGCCTGGCGGTCCCCAGCCCCGCCCCCGAGGGACGGGCAGCCCTGTGCCGCCTGCAGCTTGCAGTCTTGGCGGGCTTCTCGGCAGCGCTGAGATAGCCGCCCCCGCGGCTGTCGCCCACCTCTCCCCTTGGTAGCTGCGGGGGCAGCCGTCTGGCAAGTGAGCAGAGGCCTCAGAAGAAACCAGCGCCTGAGGTCACCATTCCCTGCAAGGGGCCGGGGGCGGGGTGGGGGACTGGAGGCGGTGGCCAGTACAAAGGGCAAACCGACTGCTGTTAACTCACAGACCCTGGGACTGAGGGGTTTCCAAGGCTGGAAGTGTTTAGGAAGCTGGATGTCACATTGACCTCCCTCAGGGTGGCCAGTGGGTGGGTTCAAACCAGCATCTCCTCACCTAGCAGAGGAGCTGGACCCCTGTACCGCCAGGACTCCTTAGGATGCCAGAGACCCAGCTCGCCCCTTAGTGTCAACTCCACCAGGAGGCATGGCCTCTGCCCAGCCCAGGCCAGGCCACGATGTACCTATGTCCTGCCTCCCAACTCCACCATGTCCGTGGGCCGCAGGGGCCCCTCCCTCTGGCACCAACACTCTCAAGAGGAGCGAGGCAGAATGGATGTGACCGGGGCCAGGTAGGCAGGACTGGGACAGGGCAGGCCATGTGTATGCTGGGGTGGGTCTTCTACAGGTCAGGGGTAGGGGGGTGAGGGACGATGCCCACCCCCAGCCTGGCTGTGGTAAGTGGGTCAGGCCTCACCCTCTGCTGAATGGCAGCGTGCTTTCTCTCCATCTCCCGCTTCTCCACTGCAGAGTCAATCACCAGCTGGTCCAGCTGTGGGCAGGATGGGCATCAGTGCAGGCAGTAGGCAGCTGCTTTCCAGAGACCCTGGCCCCAGCCCCGCCCGCCCCTGGGCTCACCTCGGTGGCCAGCTTCTTCATGTAGGGGTCTAGCTGGTGCAGGAGGTTGTAGCCTTGCTGGAAGAAGCTGTACTGGGCATGCATGAAGGACAGCATCTGGGGGGTGGGGCACAGGTGAGGCCCACCCTCTTAAGTGCTGGACCTTTGCAACCTTCCTGCCCTCCCCACCCCACCCCCACCAACCCATACTCACAGAATCCAAGATCTCAAACTTCTTCTTGGCTTGAAGAACGTTGATCTGCCAAGAGAGCGTGCGAACAGGTCAGGGGAGTAAGGGCTTGAACTTGCCAGGGTCCACTCGGGCTGCTTGTGGTTCTGTAACCCCCAGGTTGTCTTTAGCTCCCTCCCCCTGTGCCAGCCCTTTCTTCCCGGTGGTCCTGGGAGGTGGGAGGACCATCCCCACCTCCAGCCTGGACCTGGGTGCCCCACAGGAGCTGTCCTCCTGCCTCTTCTGGCCCTGCCCATCACCTCTTGCAGGAAGCCCTCCTGAGGGGGAGAGAGGGCGGGGCTGACCTGCAAGACGTAGTCCAGTGCCAGGTGGCGGAAGCACTTTCGAGTGAGGGTCAGGGCACCTGTGGCCTCCTCTACCTCATGGGGCCGGTGCCGGGGCGCCTGGGCATTCCTCACCAGGGACAGCTCCATGTCCTCCCGCACCTTGTCAAACTGCTTCTTTGTCTCCTTGAACTTCCGTACGTCCCTGGGGCCATCGGGGTAAGCATCAGAGGTGTGCGTGTGGGGTCACACTTACACCCTGAGTCCTCCCTTGTCCCCCTCTTCTCCTGGTCCTTCCACATCCTCTAGTCCTGCCAGGATGCCCCATGCCAGTGCTCCGGCCCAGGTCTCCTCAGCCTCCCCCACAGCCTGGCCTTCCCCTCACTTAGCCTTCTCCAGCTTTTCCAGCGGCTGATCCATCCCCAGTTGTTCCCCGGGCTCCAGACTCTCCTAGCCCACACCACCTCACCACTTAGGTGCCTCACAAATGCCACCCCGAGACACACACACACACACACACACACACACACACACACACACACCCCAATCACATGATGCTGTAAGTGCTATCCCCCTGGGCCAACCCTGCTCAAAGCCCTGGCTGGCCTTCATAGCTGCCCCACCCCCACAGGACCACTCTTTCCTCATTTCTGCACTCTTCCCAGCCTTTGCGACTGCTGAGCCCCAACCACTCAGCCCCCCAGGAGCTGGTGCCCTGCCACATGCTGCTCCTCCCTCCAGTGGCCCCGCCCGCCCGCCTCCCCTGACAATAGCACAGTCTCCTGGCATATGCCATGGTGCCCCTTTCTCTGCCTCACCAGGCAGGCCTTGGCCTAAGGGAGGGCCTCAGGGTGGGGGGAGGCCTGGGGTGGGAGGTGCAGGGGTCACTCACTCTTTGATGAAGTTGTGGAGCTGCTGCCGCACAGATCTCTGGGCCTGGTCAAACAGGATCTGGGGGTGTGGGAGAGGAGGCGTTACACGCCCAACCCTGCCTGTGCCCCCAGCTCAGCCACGTGAGGGTACAGCCACCCCCAAGACAACCCTACCAACCAAAGGACCTGAAAGGAATGAGTTGGTGCCCAAAGGTGCCAGCTGCGACCACCTGCCAATCTCCCACCAGACTCTTGGCCAGTCTGAGAGCAGCGAGCGCTGCTCGGTAGGCCCCTCCTGCCAGGCCCACCTCACCATCCCTGGGTGGGGACCTCCGTGAGCTCCCTCCCTGCCGGTGGCTTTGAGGGTGAAGGTCAGCTGCTCTCTGCAGCTGCAAGGGGAAGGCAGAGGAGGGGCCAGGGAGGATGCCAGCGAGAGGTGACTGTTGTGCTCTCTCCAGAACTGATTAGGCCAGAAGCAGGTTGGGGGCCTGGGCCCTGGCTGTGGCGCAGGCGGGCAGGCGAGTGGGCAGACAGAAAGAAGGTTTGTTTCTGAACTTCCTGGGGTGGGGCCTGTTTACTCTAGGGCTCTTGGTTCTCAGGCCAGGTTTGGACCACCCCTGTGCCAAGTCTGCACTCTGGGCTTCAGCAGGCGGGGTCATCAGCCCTGGTGGCAGTGGGTCCTCCGAGGCTACGTGGTCTGCTAAGAGAGGCCTCTCGGCCAGAGCTGTATCCCTGCCTAGCACCCCAAGGGTCCAGGCACCGCCCTACTGTCTGCCCCTTACTGGGCACACAACACCATCCTTCAGTAGGTCCCCCCTGCCCCTCCCTGGCTCTCTGGGGGCTGAGCCCCATACTCCAAAGCTGTGGACACAGCCCCCCCGCCTCCCCCCACCCCTTGCAGACATGTGGAGAATGGCCCCTGCTGGGCAGGGCCTGGGGTGGGTAGGGGGGCTCACCATGTGGTAGTTGACCATCTCCTGCAGACTGTCTCCAAACCTCTGTAGACATTCCTGGGGGAGGTCCGGAGAGGAGGCTCAAACTGGGCAGCATACCCCCACCCTAGGCCCATGCCCAGGCCACAGAGCCACGCCCTTGGTTGGGCGCCGACACCCACCAGCTCTGGGGACTGCGTAGTCCACGAGGGGCTGTAGATGATCCTGAGAAGCCCCCTGGCCCCACCCCAGCCAATGCCCTCACCGAGATGACACCGTCGCCCTGGCACTGCCGAGACAGGTCTCGGACGCCGCCCAGGAAGAGCCTGTTGGTGGTGACGTAGGTCTTGCCAGCCTCGATCATGCTGCTGCAGAGCCTGACCAGCTGCGGAGAGAGGGGAGTCCCTGATGTCCAAAGCACCTCCAGTCTACCCTGGGCCATCTGCCCTGCAACCACAGAGCAAACTGTTCCAAGATGAGACCCTCCCGGCACTCACCCCTACCACCTGGCCCTGCGGGCTGGCCCTGAAGTGACTGGACCCACGAGGCCCCTCACGGCCAGGGGCTGGGCTTCGAGGGGCTACAGAGGCCTGGACTGGAACTGGGAGGGCCAGGCCCGGGGCATAAGGACTGTCTGGGCACAGGCAGCACCATCTGGGCCTCAGCGCCAGAAGCAGAAGGTTGTGCCAGGGGCGGGGCACCAGTCAGGAGGCCCAGGGTGGGGTGGGGGCAGCACCAGACTGGTAGTGTGGAGTCGGGGTGGGTGGCAGTTGGGAATAGAGAGAAGGAGATGGGATCAGGATGGGACCAGCAACCATGTGAGGGTGCCCAGTCAGGGACCCCGAGGTAGAGGGGGAACCAGGCTGGCAGCATGTAGTCAGGTGGAGGGGGTGCAATTGGGGAATCATGGATGTGGGGATGAGACCATCAGCAGTAGGTGGGGGTGGGAGGCAGTCAGGGAGGGAGCCCAGGGTGAAGGGTGACAAGAGATAGCAGTGTAGGGAGGGTCCCTCTGGCCAGTTGCACATTACCAGAAGTGCTAAAGCCTGCCCCTACATCCCTGTCTCCTGCCTTGGCCCTGAGGTCTCTCCATCCCCTGCCCTAGTCACATCAAGGCAACATAGCGGACAGTAGGACTGGATCTCAGAGTACCTAGGGTCTGGAGATCCGCCAGGCCCACCACCACCCCACCACCCACGATAGAAGGAGCCCAAGGGGCAGACAAAGGTGGGTGCACATGGCAGATACACCCAACCCACATGTGTTGGCACCCACACAGGGGCAGGAGCACACCAGTTCCCGTGCCCTCAGCCCAGGGCTTGCTGGGTGTGGAGGTGGAGACACTGAACCTCTAGCCACGCCCCCCCCAACTGCCCCCTCCCCACGTACCTTGTCCAGCTTGGCTTCAATCTCAACCACATCAGTCTCCACCTCATCGATGGTTGCCCTGGAGCGAGACAGGTCAGTGAGTGGCAGTTGGCAGGGGCTTCATGCAGGGGCTGAAGTGGGGCGGGTCCATCATTCTTACTGCTATCCACCCCTACCCCCTACCACTGCTCGATGACCCTGAGGGGGCAGGGGGCAGATTGGGAAACTGAGGAAGATACCAGAGAGAAGGTAGGGGCAGACTGTGACCCAGGTCTGGGGCTCTTGAGCTGCCCTGGCTCCCCGCAGTCACAGCCCCCACCCCACCCCACCCCACACAGGAAGCAGATAGACTGGCTGTGGATATGTCATTAGCTCATAAGCCCCTGGGAAAAGTGGCTGGGAGCCCGATACACAAAGAGGAACACACAACTGTGACCCCAGTACCCCCCAGGGTTGGACACTTCCATTGCTTTGAGGCTGGTTTGTGTGTGTGTGTGTGTGTGTGTGTGTATGCGCGCTGTGGGTGGGTGGGGTGGTGTCATGTGGCTGCTCTCTCTGCCCAGGCAGCACCTCAAGACCCCAGACCAGCTACAGAAGAGGCTGTCTCCCAGACACACCCCAACTTCAAAACCCCAAGCAGCACAGAGCCAGCCCCTGGGAGGGTCTGGCCAGGCCTCAGTAGAACCCATGACCCTCAGGGGCCACCTGGCAATGGGCTGCCTGGAGAGGGAAGAGTTAACATATGACATCACCGGAGAAGCCACGAAGGAGAATCCCCGGAAGGAAGGCGAGAAGGCAGATGGATCAGGCACGTGACATGGCCCCCCTCCACTGGCTCCAGAGAACAGGAAATTGGGAGAAAGGGCCAGACTCCCAGCCGCTCCCTGCCCCCCTGGCTGCTCAGCTGGCAATCTGGGCCAGTCTGGCCTCCTGGGGATAAGGACGAGGGGTGGGGCGCAAGCCCAGTGGCTGCAGGGTACAGGGCAGGGGTCGGCAAGGGGTGAGCCCCCCACCCATTGCTACCCTAGGATTTCCCAGTCTCAGAGGGAGGAGCTTGGGGTCACGTGGGTGGAATTCAGCCTGACTAGGGAGCCGGACAGCATAGCACCCCAGAATGACCTAGCTGCCCTTCCCAAGAGATTCCCCTTTCTGGCAGGCACCTCCTCTTCTTAGGTCAGTGCCCACCATCCCTGGGGGAGTAAGGGGACTGGAGTCCCCTCTGGGGTGAGGCAGGTGGGACCTGAGGCAGCAGGAGCCCCAGAGCTCCTGCAGAACTTCCCTGAGGTCCCTTCCACCCAGGAGAAAGCTCCCCCCACCCCCAGCAGTAAGCCCAGCATGGCCTATAACACCCCCACACACACACCCCCACACCCCCGCAAGCCCCCAGGGTTGGGGCAGAGAAGGGGCCATTACCCCAGTGGGAGCCAAGCCTGGAGCCCCCCTCCCCCCACTACAAGGCAGCTTAGGACAGAGTGGTAAACTCCCAGGGCTGCTGCCCTTGGGCTGAGGGTGCCTGGGGCCCTCGGAACAGCTGGGCCAGGCCACAGTGGAAACTGGGGAGGTGTGGGCCCCACCCTGAGAGCCCTGTGCCTCTCTGTCTCCCTCTCCCTAGTCCCAGAGACCCTAGGCCTGCCGGCACAGTCCTTCTTGAATTTTCCCTGTGCCAGAGGAGGCAGGGGGTGTTGTGCTGGTATTCTCCCCACTAAAGCTGCCATGACTCAGAGCCTGAAGCCCCACCCAGAGGAGGGGTGGTAGCCCCAGCAGCTGACCCAGGCCCAGGACAGTAGGGAGGCAGTCAGGTTCTACCCAGGATCTTCACAGACCCCTCCCCTCCATGGGGTCAGGCTGGACCTCCTGAGCAAACCTTCCCCACTTTAACCCCCCTACCTCCCCCCACCTCTGCTGCCCAGAGGCCAGGCTATCAGCTTCCTTAGGGAAGCACTTGAAGTAGAGTGGAGGGGACCCGTATGGGGTCACTGGGGGCGCTGGTCCTACTCACCTCCCCATCCCCCACCCCAGCTCAGATGGCAGCCACAACCCTGGATTACCCCAGCTGGCTCCTGCACGCTGCCTGGGGACTGGGGTCTGAATCATCCTCCTTCTCCCCCTCCTGCTTCCCAGGGGCACTTTCCCAGGCAGCCCCTCCCTAAGGGAGGAGTAGAATGAGGTGTGGTGTGTGACATTCGGATCAGACTGGTCCCTTCAGGTTTACAGCTTACCAGGTAGGTTTCAAATTAGGTGTGGGGGAGCCGGAGCACAGCTAGGAGCAGAGCCCCCACCAAAGGGACCTGGCCAGCGACCCTCAGCCTGGGTTCTGTCTAGATGGGGGCTAGTTAGTCCGGGATCACAGGATGCCCAGGCCCCCTCCATCTGATTCATTATTAATGGCAAGATGGGAGACCTTAAGAGGCACCACCAGCCCCTCAGCTTTGTAGTCTGGGGCTACTCTGTGCTGTGCCTTGTCCCCCTCCATCCCCCTCTGCTCCCCACTGTCACAGCCTCAAGAGGTTTGCAAGGCAGATAGGAGGCAGGATCTAAAGGGTTCTCCCTGGTGCTAGTGACCAAGGTGCACTCCCACCCACCGCCAGGGCCCTCCCCATACGTGTGCATGACCAAATGGACAGAGGCACGGTGTCCACATGCACGACCACACGCAGCGGCACAGTGCAGATTTGTGAACCCGCAGATATGTGGTACACACACATGCAGGTGCACACCAGTGACGGGGCACACACACAAACATGGGAACATGTGTCTTCAGTGACACACTGGCATTGTGTGTGATAAACACGCTGTGTGTCTCACAGAGAGCTGGCCTGTGCACACACCCGCCGCTCCTGCCCATGGGTGTGGGATGCCTGCCTGCCCTGCTGCAGCTCACCTCCGTCTCCATGCCCTCAGACAGGGCTGTCCCTCACCATAGTGTGCACAGAGGGCAGAGCTCAGCTCCAGCAGGTGCACACCTGTGAACTCGCTGTACTTGGCACCAAAGGCCTCCTTACATTTTCTGCGTGTCCAGTAAGGAAGGCTGCATGCACACTTGTGCACACGCCTATGGAGATGAGGTGCACACAGGAATAAGGCTTCACGCTGGGGAAGGGTAAATCTGCACACCCCCGGGTGGGTACAGCCCCTGGCACTCCCCACTGCAACCTTCCCATCCAGTGGGCTTGGGGTCAGGCCGCCGAGGCCACTCCTCACCCCAGCCAAGCTGCCAACTCCAGGCCCAGGCGCCACTCCGGCTACCAGTCCCCAGTGCACCAGAGAGGGACTGAGACCCATGGGCTCGGGCCAAGGAGCCAGGGCCACAGCAGGCCCTGAGGGGGTGGGTCCTCCTGCTCAGCCCCATGTGGGTGACTATGACACGAAGCAGGGGGGTGGGGGGGATGGACACTCTCACGGAGAGGTGGCGGGCGTGCCCACAGCTGCCCAGCGGGACAAAGATGCAGCCAGGGGATAGCTGGTCCATCCCCGGGGCCGCGCCCCGCCTCCAGCACACACCCTCTGTGTGAGGTGACCAGCAGAGAGACAGCTTTTGTTCCGGCTCCTCCGGGGTTGTGGGGGGCACGGATAGTGGGGTGCAGGGCGGGCCAAGATGCCCGTGGGGCTTCGGGCTTTGTCCGACTCCGAGTCCTCAGCCTCCCAGCCACCAGCCTGGTCGGTGGGGCTCTACCCTGCACAGAGCTGGCCCCCTCCCTCCTTCCCCTGCCAGGCACA